AAAAAAAACCCCCCCACCCCCCCCCCCCCCCCCCCCCCAATCAAAAAATCAGTCCATCACAGTTCCAGGAACAGGTTTTTTAAACAATTATTCTGGGTGGTAGAAGATCTCTAGATTTACAGAATGACAGCTTTACATCTCTGGCAACCCAAGTCAGTTTGGCTGTTTCAATAGCAAATATTTATTTAAATGAATTCTTTCACTATATATGTACTTTCTACATCTACTCATCAAAAGCATCCTAAACTTATCATGAAGGGACCTGGCTTCCTTATGACTGTGACAGACCTCAACGTGACACATAATGGTATGTATCCACCATCACGGCAATTTTTTTAAATTTTTTTTTTTTTGCTTACCCATCATATCTTTTGCCTTCTTGAAATGTTTATACCACCTTCCAAATTCCTGACATTTTGCTGCTGAGACATTTGCATAGTAAGTGCTGTTCACAATGGAAGAAATCATACTCTGTGTGAAAAGGGGAGAAGAAAAAAAATCTGTAATACAGAGCAGTACAAGTCAAAGCACAAATTACCTCAATTGTCGAAACCATTATATTTTTAGAGTTTGAGAACCATATTGCATTTTTAATCCTATCATCCAAAGCCTTTTAAAAAACTCATTAATTGAGCATAAAAACAAACCAAGGTGTATTGTAAATGGGAGCAAAAAAAGCAGATGTACTAAGGGAAGAACAAAGTTATCAACCAAGAAACATCAGGCAATGGGATGTGCTCTGGATGGAAGATGTTAATCTTCGAAGTGCATTTTGTTTGTACTATTTCTGCTTTTAAGTTTGATTGACCCTTCACGTACCCACACAAGTTTACAGGCATACAAATCCTATGCTGACGCTAAAAACGCAAGCAATGCCCCAAGTTACCCATGCCCATTCCCTTTGTGCCACTTATCACAGGGCAGACACCAGAAAATAGTGCAATGAAAGTTTATCTGAATGACCTATTAGTAGGATAAAATAAGAGGGTAAAATAAAATATGTATGTAACAACCCAAAACGAACACAGACTTGCTTTTCCTAAACAGGGTATTTTAAGTGATTTGCAGAACAGGCTTATGAAAAGCTCTTATTGTCATGTCTAATTCTGTAACTGAATATTAGCTGTAAAATAGACCAAAGGATGATAGAGACAATTTTTTCTCAAAGGTTCTCGAGATATCAGATAGCTACAGTGAGAATTTTACCTTCTGCTCAGTTTTGACCAATTTTAAAATAGTAGAATTTACAATGCATAAAACGTTCAGTTCCACTACATTCTTTTACAAAATCAATTAAGACTAAGCCTTGCAAAATGAGATAATGCTCCAACTTGAAAATTATACTCAGGATATGATGTATGAACAACAAAATTAGCAAATGTAATTTCAATAGACTGAACTTTGCCACCCTTTAGATGTCTATGTGGAAAGCAGTTCCTTTTAGCTTAACTACAGGAATAGTCCAGCGTATTGAGAAGACAATGACAGCCAAGAAGATGAAGCCCTGATTATTATGTTTCTTCGCTATTCAGCATGTAATGTTTAGCTATATTTGTACTGTCATAAAATTGATGTACAGCATTAACCCTCTGTTACACAAACTGCAGTAAACACTGGAAGAAAGAGTTTGGAGTAAAAATGCAATATGACATAAAGTCACTATAAGTGACTTCTATAAGTCTATAAGTCTTCTATAAGACTAGTTCACTTCTGAGTAAAAGTACCTTGATTACTGATCTTAGTGAAGTTCATTATAACCATTTTCTAATGTATTACTCAGTAACAAGCTATTTGTGGAGGCTCAGAACTGCGAAAGTGAGGCCAAATGTGGATACCCTCTACTCACCAGGCAGCTATTTTAATGTTTCTCTGAATCACCAAAATTCTTACGATTCCTTGATATTAACCTGGCATTTCTGAAATTAGCTAGAAGCCTTTTGTCAGTGGTATAAAAGGAAAATGAAATCTTAATAGACTACTGCAACTCTAGCCTGAATGACCTGAACCAAGCTCAGCTGAACCCAATTTCAATTTCCAATAAAATAGCAGTATCATTAATGTCTAATACTTACAAAATTATTGTTTAAGCTCTTTTACAGATTAAACCATTTTAAACATAGGCACATGATACATAAGGCATGATTTAAAAAGTCCTCTGGATCTGAACTGGTAAATTATATGAATGCACACTTACTATACATACAAAAACTGCATAACTGCATGTGCAAAATAGAAACTGCACATGTAATGGGCCACCATCCCATATTAGCTTCTGCATATTTTGTGGATGTCATTTAGACTTCAGAGTGGTTTTTTCTCATCTTACTTTGTACCTTTCATATGTCTTCTCCTGCCCAAACAACTTTAGTAAGTATGAAAATGTGTATATTAATAATAATTTTAATAAATTACCTATTATTGATGAAGATGTTTGTCTAGAATTTCCTAGTCCTCCCTTCCATGTCATTTTACAAAGAAGATATGCCAATGACATGACAGTTTGTGACTGCTTCTTCAGAAATAAATGTAATGCAGTTACTTTATTTTACAACCAAATAGGGGACTGGTCTGTTTAAATAACACTGCTAGGAATTTTAGCTTCTTTGACACAATATGAATTTCAGGCTCTGATGGCTAATACTGGGATTTTACTCCAGCTCTTCAAAGTAGATAAAAAAAAAACCCTACAGACATTATCAACACATTTTAAAATGAAAATTATCCTGCTTTTTCTTTGAGAACACTTCATGCAAGCATTCAAGTGATATTACCTACGCTAAGAATCCTCATCAGGAGGAATCAATGATTTATTTACTAATTCACTGAAGGCAAAATTTTACAAGCCAGATAAAATATTACTACCTTGTTAACTCAGAAAATAACTTGACAACATTGAATTTCATTGTTTCTATGCCTTATTTATTGTCATCAAACCTGCAGTCACATCAGTGCAGAGAGACGCACTTTACTATAGAAATCCCTATATCATTCCTATTGCTGTAGAGTTCCTATATGTTTTAATGGCAATCTACATAGACAAATGCCCACTATACTTAGGGCCTAAAACTGAAGATTAACCCAATGAGTTAGTGGTCTTCAGAGATCCACAATCTAGACTGGAGTCATACTGAAGTTTTTCTTATTTCCTGGGTCATTACATGTGAGGAGCTCCCCGTGTCTTGGCTTATACTTATCAATAATCAAAATGAAAATTATTGTATTTGAAGCACATCATATTCAGGTACTACTGTACATAGACATTCCTTATCTGTAAGGCACAGAGGCAGATGTCTTCCATATACAAGGATGACGAATATAAATATATCATACAAATATTCACATGCATCACATTCATCTCTCAATCTGATTTCTTTTTCGCACGCCACAAAGAAAATTGAAAGAATGCAAAAACTGGTCACAGAGCTGCAGTCTTAAGGTATTTCCTAGAAGTTTATCCTTGAAAGAAAGTTGCAAGACTTCAAGATCCCAAATTTCCCTCTTTGCCCTCTCTCCACACCCCCTCCCCAACCACATCACTTGCAGTCCTGTTATGAGAATCAGGAGATCTCATCTGAAATGATGCCACCTTCACAGAAATCCCACTATTCTGGAATGATACCATCTGCTGCAGCCCAAGTGCTCTTTTTTTAGCCAAATAAGTTAATTATAATTAGGCATCCAACAACTGTGTGGAGGTAGGGGCGGAATTTGTTCTGAAGTTCAGCTGAGGTTCACCCAGCGTAGTTTGAACCAAATCCCATTCTCTCACGAAGATTAAATACCAGAGGTTTGAAAACCAGACACCATCATTTCTCAAAGAAGTTGGGGAACTCCCTGGGGAATATCTTAAATCTCAACCAGAACTCTTTTCATACACCCATCAAATAAAACCCGATAAAACAGTAGCATCAGACACCTTTCGTATTGTGCCAGAGCCCAATGCAAGGTGCATCCTGCAAGACATGGGAAGGACCCGAGCCTTTCATGCTGGCTGGTCGCCGTAGCCACCGCTGCAGGTACTACAAGGGAGGCATTTCTGAGTCATTGCCTCCAACAGTGCTCTCCAACCAGGTGAAGTATTGTTCGAACATCGCTAAAAGTATACTGTTGTCCTTTTTGCAAAACAACAAAAACAATGTTAATCAGGTTAATTCAATCATCTAAACCAAAACTGTTCATGCTTTTCTGCCAAATCAACCAACCACAGCAAAATCTGTTATCAGTGATTGCTCAGCTTCCAGTCAAAAAAGCTTTTAACCCCCACAGTCCCAAAACTTCCCCTAAATAACCTTAAAATTATTTTTATATGGGCAGAATGAGGTTGTTTTCATGCCTCATGAAGGGGTAGTTGGGCTGCAGTATTTACACAGAACAAATACATGCTAACAGACTTAGCAGAGAGTAACAGACACAGCAGCTTCCTAAAACAACTCGGCTGAATTAGGTATCGGGGATTCCTTTGAAAATGAAACATTTCCCTCAAAAGGAGCATTGTAACCAAAACTTATTTAGGCCTTCCAGGTTGTTTAACTAGGAAAAAAAAAAACCCCCGAGCTTTTTTGCAACTCATTCATCGGTGTTTAAAGCTTCAAGCCAGCTCAGTGGAAGGGGCAAGGGCTGCAACAACTTATTTACACAATTATCTAAATACGATTAAACAGCTGATGGACAAATATTAAACTGGAAAATGTATAGTCATTTCAGCTTAATGTAATCCTCTTTCTGTAAACACCCAAGATGATTTTTTTTCAACCAGAACAGTCCTGACATCTCATAAGCCTAAGGGTGAATAGCAAGAGATTGTTTTTGATAGTTATAAATATTCAAAAGACATGCAGACCATCTGCTTTCATAATACAGGTAAAGCAAGACTGAAATGGTGACTGCTGTATAAAAATGGTTCTTTTAACAAAGTCTTCCTCTCCTCGAAAACTATAAAGACAGATGTCAAAAACTGTTTACACAGGGTAATCAGGAGCGTGCAAAATGTAATATTCCTTTTACACACAGTGCTTGCTAAAGAGATTTTTTTTTCTTTTTCTTCCCATCTGTGTGTTGCAACACATTTCTACAAGTTAAAAACATTTTTTCAAACAGAGATCTCATGAATACCCAAAAACATGCTATCTGGTTTCTGAATGCTAATTAATTTCAACTAAGGAATCTGATTTTTTTTCTGTAGGAAGGAATGCATGCTTTTGAAATGGAGTACTTCAACAATAACAGGCACCGAAAACAGAACACCCCACAAGTTTAATTTTGCACTAGTTTGACACTGGCTATTTTCACAACTGTTTTACATTCAAACCCGCATCTGCTAAATCTGGCTATGAGACAGACAGCAACTATTCTCCCGCTTTTCAAATGAGATTTTATTTATGTTTTACCATTTATCAAGTTTTTCAGTATAAAGCCTTGTAACAACATAATGGTTTTGTCAAGTGGTAAGTAGAAGACACCTCATCTTCCAA